TTCATGTGATACTCGAGCATTACATAAGTTGAGTCGTATTTACTGATGGTTCCTTTATGAAAAATAATCATTATAATGATAATTAAGATATTTATTAAGCTTGTAATCTTACAAAAAGAACTCCTACTTATTATAAACATTTATAAAACTTTCATACAGATTATAAGTATAGAAAATGTCTTATTATTATATTATATAATAGATATAAGTCTTTCTCTTCAAATATAATACTATTATAATACTTTTACTCTTTATATAAGACTATTAAAATATATTTACCATATTATATTAATGAATAATACTGATAGAGCCTTTATAAGAACATATAAGACTGATTTTTACCTTATAATAGAGTTAAATACAGATAATTACTATATATTCTATATATTAAACATATTGCACTTTATAATAACTATAAGATTATATATAGATTTTGACTTTTTCCTGATGTTGAACTGCATCCTTGAGATCTTGATCCTGTCCACTGTGGCCATATCTGGCTAACAGGGCCCATGCACGAATGAGCAACACTTTGGTACAATGGGGGTAACCTTCTGAATGAAGTTTCAGAGCAACTTCAAGTTGGCTGTATTTGATCGAATCATCTAGGCCTTCTTCTTGTCTGTTTATGCTGAATCCAAGACACAAATAATATGCAAGGGTAACCAATGCAACGGGTCGCTTCGGATGATCTACTGGTTAATCTTCCACCTGTCCACAGTAAAGTGTGATTGTTTCCTCAATGTCTGTTGTATGACCATTTGTATACAATGCATGCACAAAAAAATCAATACTGCTGGAAGATAGTACACCAACCTTAGTCTGGCAATAGGTGACACTTACAACATTCCTGTTCTGTCAGATTCTTTGTGCTGTCCAATCAGAAAGAGTGTGGAAAACTCAATCCTATGATAGATAACTTTTTCCATGTGTACTTTAGAGAGCTGAAATGTAAGACTTGAGTACAGAGGGACAAATCACAGCTGTAAGAGACTGTGGTAAGAGGATGAATTGGGCAGAGGGTACAAACTAGCTTAGCACAGCTTGTTGTTTATTATTCATTGATGCTGGTAGATAGTACAGTCAGGGAAGCCAACTTCACTGCCTTCAGGACCTGAATCAATCTGCACGATTGTACACAGAAAGGCAAAAATAACTGGTTTTGATTTTGATGAGAATTTCTTTGTATTTGCCTTCCTCCTCAACACTGCAAAGAAATACCGTTAATACAGGAGTAGTGTATGGAATCAAGACAACCTATGCAGCATCCTAGTATTGCTAATATTCGGCAACAACATCCTGCATGTTGAGCTTAGCCCCTGCAAACTAATTGGTTCAATTGATTCAGTACAGATGTGAAACAAAATCCGCATGAACACACCTCTAAATACCTCTATGTAAGTCTTGACCTCTTAATGCAACTCTAAGAGCCTTACCACCAATGTCTGCAGGTGCTCGTCTCCAAGTTAGCCCACTGTATTCTATCACACAAAAACGAAGGTAATAACTGATTTCATTCCATCGGATGCAACATGAAAGTCAAGAAAAAAAAATACGCAAAGAAAAGAAATAAAAGAAGTAAAACCGCAATCAGAGCTAAATTGGTGCAGAGTAGCGTAAATGGTAAACGAGGGCAGCAGACTAGCAAGAGAAAACAAAACTATGCAGAGGGAGGACGTAAAGAATGTCGTCGGGAGAAATCCTGGTATTTTTAATAAAGGTCGTAATGCAAAGAGCTAAGAAAGCCGAGATAAGCGTTTATTGCTCTTCTTCGAGGGGAAGCTCTTCTTCGTATTCGCCTTCCTCCTCAACGCTGCGCAGAATAACGTCAATTTAGGAGTAGAGTGTGCAATCGGGATGACCTACGTGGCATCCTGGTATTGCTGGTATTCGGCAACGAGGTCCTGCATGTTGGACTCGGCCTCGGTGAACTATTTACAGCGAAAGTCATTTGTTAGTTTTAATGCGGAGGACAAAAATACTGCATAAACACACCTCCATCTCATCCATGCCCTCTTGAGTGTACCAATGCAAGAAGGCTTTGCGCTTGAACATGGCAGTAAACTGGTCGCTAACACGCTTGAAAAGCTCTTGAATGGCTGTTGAGTTTCCTAGGAACGTTACGGCCATCTTCGTACCGCGCGGTGCAATGTCACACTGAGCGGTAAGCACGTTGTTTGGAATCCATTCAACGAAGTAAGCCGCGTTCTTGTTTTGCACATTCTGCATCTGCTCTTCGACTTCCTTCATGGAAACTTTTCCTCGGAACACAGCGGCAACCTGGCTTGTGTTAGATAATCGAGAGGAGACATATAACATATGCTTACAGTGAGATAGCGACCGTGACGAGGATCAGACGCTGCCATCATGTTCTTTGCGTCGAACATTTGTTGTGTAAGCTCCGGAACGGAGACGGCACGGTACTGCTGGCTCCCTCGGGCAGTTAGAGGAGCGAAGCCGACCATGAAGAAGTGTAGACGTGGGAACGGAACTAAGCGAGTAAACAATTAGAAGCGTGAAGCAAGGCAGTACGATCACTTACCCATGTTTACAGCCAATTTCCTCATGTCCGAGTTAAGTTGACCGGGGAACTGCGGAATATCTTCAGCAGAACGTCGTCATGAATAAACGCACAGTACATACACGAAGACATGTCGTAACACCACTCATTACAACCGAAACGAGGTGATTGAGGTCACCGTAAGTTGGAGTGGTCAACTTCAAAGTACGGAAACAAATATCATATAACGCCTCATTGTCTATGCAGAAAGTCTCGTCGGAGTTCTCGACAAGTTGGTGTACGGAAAGGGTCGCGTTATAGGGCTATAATAATATCATATCGAACATGAGTTTTAATTTGCGTACAGTGTACGTCAAGCACAAACCTCAACAACAGTGTCTGACACTTTCGGACTCGGCACAACGGAGTACGTACACATCATTCGGTCGGGGTATTCTTCACGAATCTTCGAAATTAACAGTGTACCCATACCAGCACCAGTCCCACCACCAAGCGAATGCGTGATCTGAAAGCCTGCACTAGCATTTAGCCGAGCTAACGTAATTGTAGAAAAAGCACGTACCCTGGAGGCAATCAGTACCCTCAGCCTCCTTTCTCACAACGTCCAGTACGGCATCAACAAGCTCGGCACCCTCAGTGTAGTCTATAACCATACTGAATTACCTGACCACGGTAATCTGCTAAACGAGACTTACGGCCTTTTGCCCAGTTGTTACCAGCTCCATTTTGGCCGAACACGAAGTTGTCTGGGCGGAATAGACCTCCAAGTGGTCCACTACGTACGGAGTCCATAGTACCAGGCTCCAAGTCTACGAGAATAGCGCGCGGAACGTATTTGTTTGCCCCAGCCTCATTGTAGTACACAGAGATCCGCTCAAGTTGAAGATCATTCGTGCCCTTGTATACACCATCACGATCGATTCCATGTTCATCCGAGACAACTTCCCAGAATTTGGCACCTAATTTCCTAAGGATTAAGCAAAGGTGATAATGCAGCCGGACGTATTGCAAGCGTACCGATTTGGTTACCACACTGTTCGGATACAGCAGATTACATATTAGTATACAGCTGTCACGTCGAAAAACGCGACTTTACGAACCTGGCCGGTCTGGATGTGCACGATTTCACGCATTCTGAGGTGAACGGACGTGTCAGTGCTGAGTTTGCGACGCGATTTGTTTAAACGAGTGTGTTTTCAAAGATCATGGCTTAAAGGAGCAATTGTCACTTTAATACCCGAATTATCGAGCTTCTTTAAGTGCCCGATGGCAAGAACTATGTATAAATGTAAAGTAATGTTATATTGTGCTCACCTGGCGTATCTCTTTGGTGTGGCGAAGGCGAAGTCGGCTGGAGAATGTGGGTGAAGAACACAAAGGTGGTAAAGGGTGCGAGATTTCTGTCGGCTCGGCGATTACCGATCATTCAACCTCCGATGGTTCGACATTGTTGTTCGTTTACATAATTGGAAGAGCTGCATATATATCCAGTCTTTTCGACTTCACAAGGGCTTCAAAATTTGCTTGACGAACAGGTTCGTTTATGTATGCTTACCCCCGTGATCTGCCTATAGCCTCGATAGTTTACCACTAGATGATAAATTTGATTTGAAACCATTTCATTACTTGCATCAAAAATAAACAGAGATCTTAAAAGAATCAGACAAGATCAAAGCCCAATAAACGCCGGTATCATAGCGGTATATAATTGAAGCAAAAGAGGGCAACGAAGACAGCTGTAGCGAGAATACTTTAAAAAAAGAGGGAAGGCTGATGTCGGAGAGAATAGTGATTTTACGAAACACCCGTTTACTGCTCCTCCTCTTCTTCAACTGGAACTTCCTCCTCGTACTCGCCCTCTTCCTCAGCACTGATGCATCTATTAGCTGCAACTCTAGTGAAGTTAGACATTAAATGACGTACGTGGCGTCCTGGTATTGTTGATACTCAGCGATGAGATCGTGCATGTTAGACTCTGCTTCAGTGAACTGCGAAGAGGATCAACTCGTGCGTGGAATAGAATTAAGCAGAGAAACGAACCTCCATCTCATCCATACCCTCTTGTGTGTACCAATGCAAGAAAGCTTTGCGCTTAAACATAGCAACGAACTGGTCGCTAACACGCTTGAAGAGCTCCTGGATAGCTGTCGAGTTACCGATGAAAGTAACGGCCATCTTCGTGCCTTTTGGAGCGATGTCACATTGCGACGTAAGCACGTTGTGTGGGATCCATTCCACAAAGTATGCGGCGTTTTTGTTCTGCACATTCTGCATTTGTTCCTCGACTTCTTTCATGGAGACCTTGCCACGGAACATAGCAGCGACCTGGAAACAGATTGAAGATAGGTATTTCAGTAATCAATGAACAATTCTAGACATACCGTCAGGTAGCGACCGTGACGAGGGTCTGATGCTGCCATCATGTTCTTCGAATCAAACATCTGCTGCGTGAGCTCGGGAACAGAAACAGCACGGTATGACTGGCTCCCTCGGGCGGTCAGAGGCGCGAAACCAACCATGAAGAAGTGTAGACGCGGGAATGGAACTGAAAATGAAAGTAAATCGAAGGGTGTAATAATCAGAGCGATGTAGCATCATACCCATGTTAACAGCCAGCTTTCTCATATCTGAATTGAGCTGGCCGGGGAACTACAGAGAAAGAAGCTTGAGATAGGTTTCTCTCTATACAACCGTGAAAGCATACGCGGAGACTGGTCGTAACACCACTCATTACCACCGAAATAAGGGAGTTTAAGTCGCTGTGCGACGGCGTTGATAACTTCAAGGTGCGGAAGCAGATGTCGTAAAGCGCCTCGTTGTCGATACAGAACGTCTCATCAGAATTTTCGACAAGTTGGTGTACGGAGAGAGTCGCATTGTAGGGCTATAAAAGCATATAACCAGTCTCTGAGATTAACATTATTTGTTTTCAATTGGGATAGCAATTACGAACCTCGACGACGGTATCTGACACCTTCGGGCTTGGTACGACGGAGTAAGTGCACATCATCCGATCCGGATATTCCTCACGGATCTTTGAGATCAAAAGTGTACCCATACCAGAACCGGTACCACCGCCAAGCGAATGTGTGATTTGGAAGCCTGAGAAAACGTAAGTCGGAGTGAAGATAGGGTAAAATAATAAGTGTACCCTGGAGGCAGTCAGTGCCTTCAGCCTCCTTCCTCACAACATCCAGGACTTGGTCGACAAGTTCGGCACCCTCAGTGTAGTCTAGGGAAACAATTCAGCGCCTATTTTTAGCGACGCGAACAAGACAAACTCACGTCCTTTCGCCCAGTTGTTTCCTGCACCATTCTGACCAAAGACAAAGTTGTCCGGGCGGAAAAGGTTTCCGAGAGGACCACTTCGAATCGAGTCCATAGTGCCTGGTTCAAGATCTACGAGGACGGCACGTGGGACATATTTGTTCGTGCCAGTCTCAGTATAGTACACGGAAATTCTCTCAAGTTGAAGGTCAAGGGTGCCCTTGTATTCGCCATCGCGGTCGATTCCATGCTCGTCTGAGACAACCTCCCAGAATTTGGCACCTGAATGCCTAGTGTGTCAGGACGACTGCATATTAAGCAAACCGAATAGCACGCGTACCGATCTGGTTACCACACTACATAGACAAGAAAACGAATAAGTGTCACGCAGAGAATGAAAAGTTTCGAAACACAGTCCGCACCTGGCCGGTCTGAATGTGAACGATTTCGCGCATGCTGTAAAAAATGAACGTGTCAGTGTTGTGTTTGCTTGCGACGCGTGCATGGAACGCGGTAAATCAGGGCTAGGGTTCACTCGTCCCGACACGGTGCAGGGTATGTCCCCAGCTCACATATGTGCTTCAAACACCCCTGATCGTGGCAGAAGGACGATTCTTCGAGAAAACTGTGCTCACCTGGTGAGTCGAAGGCAGGTGGCAGAGGGCGAAGAAAACGCGAACAGTGAGAACGGGAACGCTCGTGGTCAACACGGTCACGGCACTCTCCAGGGAATTTGAAACTCCGACAAAACCTGCTGCTTTGTGGTGGCACGATTATGTTTTTCATTTCATTCAAATATCTCGACAAATACAGCTTGTTTAGTGCCTGAAAATGCATACGTATAATCTACGATAGCCCTAGAAGAAATTAGGGGAAAGACTCGTGTAGCTATGGCCAGAAGGAGGCTGCATTGATTGAGGCATCCTCCATTGCTGCCTTCTTCGTTGGACCTGATCCTCCTGCGATTTCAACACCATCCACTGAGGCGTGATCGTGCGTCAGAGGTACAGAAACTGCATAAAATAATGTTTGACGTAGACTTACACGAAACGATACATCTCCAGGTGGGTTTATGTGCAGGACCACGCCAAAAAGGTTCAAACATGATTCGACCTGCCAGGTTTTTCTCCCGAATGTAATCCATGAAGATCGGATAGTAATTTCTCGTCGAAGGGAGCGGAACGCCTTTATCTTCTATAAGTATTTAAATATTGTCAAATTCGTTAGGGTGGTTTTATTTCAAGACGGACCTAGCATTCTCATAGTTTGATAAGCGGCTTCTTTATCGGCAGACCTTCGAGTACATGCGCTCCCGGTTCCATACTCCTCACCATCAACTGACAGGAATCTGTTCTCATTACCTGATTGAACCTTATTTGAAAAAGCAACGTACTGCTGCAGATAGATGTCCACTGCGGCACGTGCGCTTCGCCTTCCGGAGTTCTCTTCACCGTAAGTTTCCTTCCGCTTGCTATACAATAGTTTGTGAGTGCTGTCATGTAACCTGACAACACGAGGGACCATAAGAACATCTCTAGCTCATGATAGAAGATGAACTTACTGTTCACGGGGTTTATCGGTACATCAACTGGAGCAGGACGCTCCGATGGAAGGTTCTTGAACTCAACCTTTACAGCCATGAAGTGAAAGTAAGGGGGATGAAGACAAGCAGTGTTGTGCGTGCAAGCCTTGACTTGTCGGTCTTTTTATCTTGACAAATTTTGTGCGCGCAGCATTGATCCTCCTAAAAGCAATGCTCACCACTTCACAGCACAGCATGCTGTGCAAAAATTTAAGTACCTTGCTTCTGCTTCTCTTCCTTCGCCTCATGTTCTGCAGCATGCATACTTGGACGAACTTAGAAGGGCTGTACGTATACTTGGATCGCAGGACTACAGAGCAGGGAGAAACTTGTTCCGCAGGCAAGCGCTAATGCTGAACAGTATCCTAATAATATCAATCGACAAAATGAAGTGATCATTTCGGAGCATAATACGTGAGTAAAGACCGCAGGCGAAATGTACAAACAGGATGGTACAATACTGATGTACATGCAAGAATTTCGAAGCGGATGATACTCTTCTCTACATGAATGGAAATTTCTGGAAGACAATCCAAGCACTCCATCCACTCTAGCGAGTCACATAGGAGACATTACCCAACTTCCAGATAAATTTACAGGACTCTATCTGAGTACCTCCTGAGGAGAAATCCTGTTTATTAGAGTTTTTAATTATTATCTGCAGTGCTTCTGTGCCACGCCAGGGCGACTTTGTGGGCCACATCCTCCTCTGCTAGCGAAAGTGTTTCTCCTATTCCCGTTGCTATAGGCATTCCGTCGACTAAAAAAAAACGAAATTAGGAACGTATCGTATGTGCATAATCCATCGAAGAAGATGACAAACAGGAGAATATTACACTTTGCACCCACTTCTCGGGGTCATTAGAACGCGGTCCAGATTGCGTGTTCCAGGTCACCCGAGAAGATAGGTCGTTCATAATAATATGTTCCCTCAAAATCGAATGGTAGCGCAACATAGGAAAGTATGAAGGATATTCGCGCTCTATGAATAAAATGTGAGATAGGCGCGCCCGCAACGTGAACGACTAGTACACACGTAATTGTTCCAGGGCAGCTAACGCAGCTCCCTGCTTTGCGAGTTGCTTCCTTTGGTTCCTTGCGGTGCCATATTCGACACCATTGACTGGGAGTTGAACACTTAGCTCGAGAACGGGAAAGAGAAGTCGTCCAACAATTCACCATTACATTTCATAGTGTGGATTGGATCATGAGGAAGACCGGAGGACTCCCCAGCTGCATAGACTATTTTAAACCCAGATTTTGCTTGGCACAAATCGTGCAGAACCGCTTGTGCACCTGGATAACGCTCGGTACAAGAATGCGAATCATTAGTTCAGCACTCACTGATTCCCTTGTACTTAAGCATAGCCTCGACAGATGGCAATGGAGGTGGAGGAAGTCCTGGGAAGGAAATCCCGTTTCCTAACCCGGTGCTGGCACTGTCTACAGGCTCAGGAACTTCCGTTGGTTCGGAAATATTAGCATGGCTCGTTGGTTCTTGCTCTGGCTCTGATACAAAAGGCACATGAATGTATTCTTCTTTTAAGAGTGAATGTTAGCAATTAAAGCGAGAATACCGTCATGCTCACCCTCGTCAACGCTGGAACTCGCGGTGATAGTTGATTGCGATGAAGAACGAGAGCGAGTGCCATCCACCTCATTAACATCGCCTCCGTTGAGCTCTTCCATATCCTCGAGACCCTCACCCGACTGCAAGGTATCATTGTTCCGAGACTGACGCGGATGTTCCTTGTTATTCGCACAACATTCTTCAGAACAATACGAACTACAACAAACCGTCAGTATAACAGAAAAAAATTCGCACAATAAAATACACAACCAGATGACATCTTTAAGAACATCTATGGTGGGTCGATGTAACGGATCTGTCACCCAGCATAAATGGCAGAAAGCAATGAGACCATTCCTGTACTTGTTGAAGTCAGGCCTCAGAGTCTCAGATGGAAACTCTGGTAATTCCTTTCTTGACAATCGCATGACCACTTCAGGGCAAGATGCATCATAATAAGGCACGTCTCCAGAAAATAATTGCTGAAACGGGCCATTAAGTGAGGAAACTATATGTTCTTTGGCAACGGCTCACCAAAATTGTGCATCCAAAACTCCAAACATCGCCTGGCTTGGTGGGTCCCGAAGGGGCCTTCCCTTCCGTGTCGAACGATGCATACTCGACAGCCATCCAGCGGTTGCACCTCTGGCAATCACTGGAGGTTACCTCAAGCGCGAGACCATTATTCCCAAGCATTCGTGAAAGACCGAAGTCACCAATTCGTCCACGACCATCGGAACTGACCAATACATTGTTCTACAAGGAATAACAGAATAAGAAACGGATAGTTTTTGCAGAGGCTGAACGATGCAAATATACGTACTGCTTTTATGTCTCCATGAGCAATATCTCTACTATGTATATACGATAATCCTTTGGCGATATCGCATATCTAAGGCCAGGATCAGTGCCAGGACCTAAGGCAAGCAGCCCAGCTTACCATGTGTATTAGGTTTGTCCCTGGTTTACAAAGATACCTGTCGGCCGTTTCATTTTCCATATAATCCGAAACCAGACATGGAAATGGGTTGTCATCGCGAGTCAATATTCCGTGCATTTTTAAGACATTCTCATGGTCCAAGGATAACCATAATCTAATTTCTCGACGTAGTTTCTATCGGCCCTAGCTTTAGTCCTTGAACGTATAACATTGAAATTGCATACTCTTTCTCCCCTGATGTTATTGCCTGTCCAAAGCTTTGCGCAAGCAGCTTTGACGGCAAATATCCTATCACCAGCTCCTTGGATGAGAGGAGAGAGGGAGGAACGTAATCTATACTTGTAGACTTCCGAGTACCCTCCAGCACTGAAAGGTTTTCTTTGCACCTCTTCAAGAAATCTAGTCAGATCATCTATAGGAGGTTCTGTAGGAGATAAGGAAATGCCAGCCAGAGGAGACAATAGATCCGATTCAGAAATAGGAGATAATCGCTGCGGGCTAGTCATTGCTAAAGGATGCTCTTGGAGGGTCGCAGCAAGTCGTAGCAGGGCAGGCATTGCCATCGCATATTGATCCTCAGGATATATGTAACCTGTCCTGATCATTCCCACATGACTGACAAGGATCACCACGTTTGGTCCGAGATCTCCAGCGATTGTGAAAGAAGCTCATCAATTTGCTAATAGCGCTCCTGTGTATCAATAGCTGTCCTAGGGAAAGTGGCGCCGCGTTCTAGAGCAGTAGACATATCAGCTTCGACACGGCTACATGCATTCTGCTCGTGTTGGAATTTCATCTCTGCCGTACAAAGATGTAGTGGACAAGCTTAGCTTCATTTCTTCTGAGTTCGGGGTTCGAAGTCAGAGAGTGAGCGCTAATGCTGTAGTCCAACTTTCTCACGTCCAGTAAACTCTATTTAGACGCACGGATGTTATGAAAACGTTTTCGTGACAAGCCCTCAAATCCAAAAACAACGTAATTGAATTCTTGCGCGCGCAGATCAATAATATCGTTTATTGTTTTTAACGAGGTTTTTGACCTTTAAGACTGACTACCGCAGTCTGGAACAGAATATGTCTCGAGGACAGTTTCAATCCAAATGTCAGCCAGACAGCTCGAATAAAATGATCAAGTCTTCCCCCCCCCTATTTTCGCCCTACCTCCTTCCTGATACTATCTCCTCCTAGCCTGGTGCTAGAAATCTATTTCTGTGAGTAGAGAGGACATTAATGCGCTCCTCACTAGTTGTCGTACTTCTTGCTTTCTCCATTCAACGAGTAACTGGTGAGTGCTGGACTGCCGTAAGAATAAATTTATTTCGGCTCAGTGCTTCGCAGCGGACGGGAATGACTGGGTCAGCCCTGAGTTCGTGATGCAGAAGAATGGAATGCCGAACGCGCAGAGCCGGATCATAAGTTTCGCTAAGTCAACTGCGAGCAAGGGTCCATGGAGTGAGTATTCAACGCTGTTTCCAAAGAAGACTATCGGAAGTCACTTACAATTTGCCGTGCCTCGGAAAAGCTGTTTCCGGTAGTACGACAATATTACCACCAAACGGTGATAAGCGCGATTATCTGAGTTGGGCACCGTAGTAAGTCACGTTGATCTCTTGCGATGGTTATGATTGACATAATCTGTATTGGAAGTCACTGGCCAAATTGTAACTGGTGCTCTGGACCGCGAGAGCATCTAGCTACAGGTGGAAATCGGACTGATTCCGAAGACGGCGACGACGCCAGCGATTCAGACACGGACCCATCTGGTGATAATGCGGACGACGATGGAGACGAAGAAAACGATGAAGATGGAGAGAATGACGATGACGGGGAAAACGAAGATGGAGACGACGAGGACGACAGTCTAAGTACCACAGTGACCGAGATATCTGTGAATGTTCCAACCCCGCCTCCTGTTCCACTTGCCCACAGGAGAAGAATGCGACGTGTCAGGAGATTCATTCACTTGCGAGGCAAGGATTCGGTCGGTATGCCTCCATCAGGGAAACCAAACGTTCAGCCAAAGCGAAGAGACCTTCCAGACTTGCCACCCGTCTCCATAACTACTATGCTCCCTGATACTGAGCCCACAACCACCGACGACAACGTTGCGGATGGTAGTACAGGTATCGAGAACGCAAGGAAGACTCATAAGCCAGCACCACATGCAAAAACGACAAATGCTCCAAAGGGTAAGTCCACGCACAAGGCTGCAGCTACGAAGACAGCCGCGGGTGGATCAGACTGCACACCCTCACCAAGCAAGAGTCTTCCTCCGAGCGCTAGTAAGTTGGAACAAGTCTCACACTATGAATGGCATCTGACATGCGATTGCAGCATGGACCACATGCAAATATGTCGTAAAGGATGGCCACATCAACCCTGACGTACGAGAAATTCCGGGCGTGAGCAATGCGGCTGACGTTGCACAGTCAATCCTCTACAACGCTGCAGCAGCGGTCCTCTCCGGATCGGAGGACTTCTCAAAAACGGCAGCGCAATTCATACAGGCGTATTTCCTCGATGCAAGGGATGGTATGCATCCAAGAGTCGCATATGGGCAGGTCATTCGTGGTCCTGGCACACAGCAGGGGCAGTATCTCGGACTAATCGATTTGCGCGGAATGGTTAAGGTCGTAAATGCTGTCCAGATCATGCGTGAAGCCAATGCACCTGCTTGGACAAGTGCGTTGGATACACAGATGGTAAACTGGGCGTCTCAATACGTCAAATGGATGCAATCAGATCCTCTTGGCCAGAAGGCTCTTTCCGCCCCAAAGTAAGTACTATGCTCTCCTTGTGTCAAACTTGCTGAACTAGTAGTATTCGCCCTGAAATAGTAATCATGGATCATTTGCGACAAATCAACTTGCAGCGGTAAACATTCTCGTCCAAGACACGGGCGCAGCCACCGCTGCATTGAACACGTATTTCTCGAATCAGTTCCAAGATCAGATTGCAGCCTCGGGTGAACAGCCATTTGAGGCCGTTCGCACAAGACCTTTCCATTACAGATGTTTCAATCTCGAGGCGATGATCGTAAGACAGTTGTTCAATCTTTTATAGCTCGTGACGCTCATTCTTTCTAGACCAATGCAAAGCTCGGTGATCAGCTTGGGCTGAACTTCTGGTCAGCTAAATCGAAGTATGGGGCGACAATCAAGGACGCACTTGACTTCGTGATGGCAAAGGGACCCGGAAACGAGGATATAGCAGATATTTTCCCGCACATAGCAGCAGTTGCAGCCGCGTATGGTGACCCAAATGGAAAATACGCATCATATCTCCGGCAAAGGGATGAGCGATACCAGGTCTCGCCATATTATTTCTACGATCAGCCTGGGGCATTGGTAAAGGCACCTACTTCGACAAAAGACAAGGAAGAGCAGACCATAGCTGAAGCGGAGGGAAAGCTTGGAGAGCTTGTTGAAAGTCTGAAACCGACACCAACAGACCTTCCCGTTGCGACACCAACGATCCCTTGGGAATGTCCGGCGGCGTTCGCAAAGGCGACTCAAGTGGAGCTAGATGACGGTGTCTATGTGACTTGTGATGAGCTGAAGCATCTCTATGGATATACAGATGAGGCGAAGAGCGACGTGGAATCGTGATTTGAGCAATTATAGTACAAAGGGTGATACACGTACAATAATATACATAAGATCATCGAACAAAGAGCTTCTTTCCTCGCAGCGGCCTTGCTGCACCCACCCGGCCTGCCTCCTGTTGATATTGACGGTACGCCTCACGTAAGTGGTCAGGCGACAAAGGGCCAGTTTCGCCTCGCTTCTGCTGCACCTTTCGTGCTTTCTCAATAATTTCACCGACAAAGACCTTTCCGAAACCCGCTACAATCTGAGCTACGGGCGCAGACACCTGCTGGCCAAGGGATTGCTGGACGACCTAAAAAGTAGGAGTCAACATGAGAACCAACGCTTATGGAACACACTAGCTTCACTTACCCTTCGGACTGCTTGCTTCGGTAAAGCATTGCGCCTGTACGCCTCGTAACGATCATACTGATCGGCGGAAAAATTATCCATAAGCACCCTGTGTAACCACAGAGGTTAGAAGACCTTTCTGAAAATAAGAGAACTGTCTATACTTTAAATTATCTTTTGACTGGCTTTGCCATGACAGTTGTGCAGAGTAATCATCGTCCGCCATATCTGGAAGCAAGTCCTCCTCGCCCTCACCATCTTCATCCGCACCAGTCCTCCCAGTACTGGGAGGGACAGCACCTGCTGACATTGGCCCGTCAGCGGCGATAACGGGTCCCCCACTTGTTGAAGCTGCTTTCGAAGCACCTGCTGGATCCGACGTTTGAATGGGTGTAGCCCATTGAATAGTGGTTGATGTTCCAGTTTGTGAGTCCGCGATGGACGGTGCAATACTGGCAGCTCGCGATTTCTTTCCCTTCTTTGCACCTGATGGTGCTTTTCGAGCTCCTCCTCCACCAAGTAAAGGAGTTGAAGGCTGTGGTGTTGAAGCTTGGAATGTGTTCATATGTGCCGGCGGCGAGCTCATCGTGGTCCGTGTTCAAAGAGTGTACAAGTCACGTGCGTCAATGGAACGGACAAAACTCATTTTGGGCCTGAGAGTAATTACACAAACTACAGAGGACATACTCGACAGCACTTCCACCCAAAAATATGAAAAAATAGAAACAAAATAAACAAAATGCGTCAGGAACCATTCATCCCAGGTGCGTATATGGGACCTTCCGGTGGGTGACCATACGCCACCTGCATTGGAGCTTGTTGGATCAGGAACTCTGCTTGAGGACTTATTTTTTTGATAAATTAAATTAAATTAAATGAGTAACCTTCGTAAGGGCGGAGTGAGATACTGACCCGAGATGTGCTCTTATCACCTCATCTAGGGCTATTTCCTTCTGTTCACGGGCACGTCGTTCCTCGGCACGGACAACACGTAACTCCTCTAGGAGACTCTCATGCTGTTCCAGAACAAAGCGATGCTTTGCCTTCATAAGAAGATACCGAACCATAGCCGGTGTCCGATCCGTAATCTTGCCTGTCGTCGGGTCCTTGTGTTGCAGCAGGTGTTCAGGAAGAGCATCTTCATGGTCGTCGCCACCTCCAGAACCATTGCTCAACGCGCTGGGGCTTCGACCGCGCCCTGAGGCTGAAGGATTGATAAGATCCCCACGGTCATCACGTAGCGGTGTTCCTTGACCATCTTCGTAATCTGCCCATGCAGCCCCAGAGCTCAAGTCAGTAGGAGTATTGCCTTCCACTTTCAAGGCTGCACCACCTTCTGCTTCTACTTCCTCGTCGCGTTTTCGCTTCCGACTTCCACCACGGCCGGGAAGAGGAGGTGATATATTGTGTTGGAGACGCATGTGCTTCGCCATTGCATCAGAACGAGTGAAGGACTTGTCACATTCAGGCAAGGGGCATGTGAACGGTTTTTCGCCGGTATGCGCACGGATGTGGGAGATAAGTGCGAAGCGGGATGCCTGCTGAATACCTCGCCTTGAACATGTTGCCCATTCGCACGTGTAGTTCGATTTGTTCATTCCTATGTGGTCTTCAAAACTGGTCAAATGTACTGTCAATTCCTCCAGAGGCTCACGGACTTACCATTATGAATATGGTCAATAAGAGCTTGTAACTGGGAAAATGGTCTCCCGCAATCTTGCCACTGGCATGTCACGCTTTCAAGCTCATACTCGGCACCCTGCCCGTCAGAAATGGTCGGAGACAAAGGTCGTGAAGCACTATGCATTTCGACATCGTATTGATCGTAAGAGTGCTGTTCTCCACCAGCCATGGGTGAGAAAAAGGGAGACGGAGATCGTGCACCCGCAGGTGGCGTGACACTCCCAGGTCGACTACAAGACATTGCACGATCCCTTCTGAATACAGGTATTTTAGTAGAATACAAGAGAATGTCATTGCACTGCCAGTTGTTCACACTGTGGGCGATGTGCACGTGATGCAAATCAATCAGTTGCTGATATAAGCTAATATACGAGAAAGTCGCCCTGCGGCGACATGGATAGCTTCTTCTCAATTCTTCTGCATTATTATAGCAAATGTCGCCGCCCACTCTAGCTGTGCCTTGAGGATATCAATCGATAGAATCAATACGGCTTCACAGGGTCGTTGAACTGGTTCGATATGTCCATCATTTGCTCTGTCTTGATCTTCTCTACTTTCCTAATATCAACTGTTCCATATCCAAAAACAAAGGGAAGACCCGCATTACGTCTTGCTGTGCTCACATTCGGTCTTGTGCCTCTGTCTCGCATTGAACCTCTGTATCAGCCCACTCGCCGGCAGCGCAGGCTCGTAGCTTCTTAATCCACGAACTTATTTAAAGGGAAACTAGTATCAGGAAGCATACATCTGACAAATCTATGGCGACAAAGGAACATTTCTTCCACCGCTTTGGATATGAACCTTATCACTTCCCTTCTAGAGTCGGCTGTGTCTGTAGGCTATGTGGGTGCTTATGTGTCTTAGGCGACTATTACGGTCGTCTTTACTGGCTGCAGTCCTAGGACATCCTTCCTGGCACCATGTCCTGCTCACAAGAAATAATCAGCTGGGATATCCCACCATATGTCACAGACTACTCTTCCTACTTTGATATGTTGAAGTGGGTACCAGAAGGGGATGCGCACGGAGGATTTGCGGATATTTTTTCTAATTCTCTGGGAAAGCAAAAGTATGCTCTGAAGGTGCTTCGTCCATGGTCTAGGGGTGAAGCGGCGATGAAAAAGGTATAGTCCTTAAATCCGTACGCCGATCACAGCTCCAACTTGTTTTCCGAAGAATTTTGACCTCGAATTAAGTTCCTGGATTAAACTGGGCCCACATCCAAACATCCTTCATTTGGTCGGGATCTGTTATACAACGCTCACTACGAGGACTCCACAACCCAGTTTCCTTTCGTATTGGCAAGATAACGGGAGGTTGAACGATTATTTGAGAGAGAACGCAGATGTTAATCTGTTGGAAATTGTACGTCCACACTTATCCAATATTGCACGTCCAGAGTCGTATTGATGATAGAATTGCACGATAAAGCTAAATGGCGTCCTTTCGGGCTTGGAGCACATGCACGGGAGGGGTGTTATTCATGGTGATCTACGAGGGGTAAGGAATGTTCGCGTATGTCCAAGCTTACCAGTTAAAGTCTCTGCATAGGGAAATATCTTAGTTTCCAACTCCGGTGTCCCTCAAATTGCAGATTTCGGATTGTCTAAAATAGTCGGTCAAGAATCGTCATCTTCCCATTGTTCCGGAACAATTCGCTGGATGGCAAAGGAACTGCTTGATGCGGATCATGAGGATTCTGGCACTAAGTTGAGCTCGAGACGATCGAGGGCCTCGGATGTTTGGTCAATGGGAATGACGATCTTGGTAAGGGACAGTTCAAAGACCTGTTTGCTCAATGTCGTTAAGTTAGTCTTGATAGGAACTGCTGTCAGGAAGAAAGCCATACTATGACTGTGACAACGTTATTCCAATTATATCTCAAGGTACAAAACCGAAGTTCCCCGGAGTCTTACATGAAGTCTGGACTGTGTACGTGGACACGCTATGGAGAGTTTGCAACAACTGCTGGAGAATCAAACCATCTGAACGACCGACAGTTCAAAACCTCATTGACGAAATAAAGTGCGTAGTTTATCCTTTTCTTTCGACCAGCATGAACACCAATTCGCAAAAGTTTTCTTCGTCATTCCGTAGGCCTGCAGGGGAATGAAGATCCGACTCCAGACGAATCGTCTCCCACTCCACGTGCACGTCCCCAGAGAGACACTGCTGAATTGCTTGCACGCATTACATCGCTTGATCTTAACAGTAGCACAGACTTCGGCAACAGTGTCAACAGTCGTACAGACGGACATACGGAAGATTTCTGGGCACCTGGTATGACAATGGGAAGCGGCTTGAGATCATACACACATACTACCTTTACAAGGTCTGATGTTGGATTTGACGTTGAGTTTGACGATCGAGCATTGGATGGCTGTGCGATCTGTACGTGTTGGAACGATCAGTAAGCAGACCTGCGCTGACGTTCTATTCACCGTCACCCTTACAAGCATACATGACTGCCTTTGTCAATCACCTCACTGCCTCAAAACGTTTCAGGAAACATACAGTCCATAGCGAGGCAGAAGGCCCTGCCCATTCACCAACCTGGACAGTGTCAATATCCTGTAAGTGCACCACTCTGCCAACTATTCTTGCATATGTTCTTTCTTTGACAAAAATAAGTGGATGGTATTGTGTTAGGCAAAGCAGTTGGACGAACAAAAAAGGCTGCTCAGGATGAAGCTGCAAGGCAAGCATTTGCTGCAATAGGTTTGTTCTATCGAGCATTATACTCACTGAACTTTACTGATAGTCCATGTTAGAAAACGAGGAGATAGACCCAGATGTACCGTACCTCCCTTTATTCTTGAACCGTCTGAATGTCCGCGGATCACGTTGTCATGCCCAATTCCGTTGGCGTACAGAGTTGGGTAGAGGCTGGTCTGGAGGAAGAGTTGGTGAATGGGTATCAACCTTATATCGTTGCGTACAATACTTCACTTTATGCGTATCATGAAACGTTGACGCAGATGTAGGGAATGGTAGGGAGGTTGGACGAGGAAGGGGAAATTCGGAAGAGCGCGCAAAAGGGGAGGCAGCGAGAGCTGCCACTGTGGTTCTAGACTAACTTATTTTCTAATGGTGAGAATTTCCCATCGTAGCATAATTGATCTAGGCTCAACTGTAACGTAACAGTGTTATGATGTCCCTGCATTCAGACAATTACAGAACCCTTTATATGTGGATCCAGCATTCGCATCATCTAGACTGATCGGGGACATGGTTTCACGTCATTATCCGGTTCTACTTTGCATACTGTGCTTCTGCCTTTCTTTTGTTGCAAAGTTCGCGCTAGCCCCTGTTTTACATGACGGAGACGGAGGTCGGGCTTCGCGGAGTACAAGTACTCCTGACGGCATTCACAAGTCCTGCACCTTCTATTGTCCTGGGCGCATTTCTCCTTGGACCCTCAACGGATACAAGTATCCTCGTGTATCGATCAATAGATGTCTCATCAATAAGGTAACCAAGTATACTGCATGATAGGGGATTCTCTGCGACGGAGACGCGCATATGGGGTGTCACTTTCCTCATGTTCGCCGCTTCTGTTCTTGTTATAACCAAGCCTCATTGTTGCAAGACCAAAAAGAATCATCTGCTGGGAACTTCGAGGCGACATAAGGCTCCGATTTCAGTTGACCGCCTGACTACTAGAGTTCGTGAATTTCACATGCAGATACTAGGCGACTACCCAACGTGGTACTGTCAAGGCGCTTTCGAACACACCTGATATCGATCGTGAATACATCTCAAGGATAGAAGGCGGAAAGCACTTTTATTGCAAGGCCTGTAGCAACCCTTCAGGGTTTTACGCACGATCGAACTGTTTGCCGAACATACTGCATTCCAACGCTTGTGTATTAGGGGGTACGATGACGCTAGTTTGAGTCCGTCTCCTATTTAACAAATACTAGAAGTAGCACCTACCTGTAGCAACATTCGCCTTCGCTCGAGCAACGCATACTGTACTCACTTGATCTTCAGCAACAGCACTTAGTGTCCAGCTACGCAACATGAACAGACCTGGCACCAGCGACAACGATGATTATGCTGCAATAATTCCAGACGTGACAGACAGTCTTGGGCTCGATACTCCGCCTGCATCACACTCGTCTCCTACATTCGGTTTCACCCTGCACAAGGTCCAGATGGGAACAGGTCATGTTCTTGTCAAAGTATTCAGTGGCATACCCCAGCAGTGTCTCAATAGTGATAAGACAGAAGTTTTATCGAAGGTATTTAGTTGAAAATGAATAGTAATACTACATCTACCAGGAATGAATGAATATTATTTCTAGGAATTCCTGAATAGAATAGGGAAATGGAAGTCTAATACTTCTACTATTCTTTTTTCGACTATAATTGGGTACAGTCTGTACATGGACAGTGTACTTCCAAGTCTAGTATATCAGGAGACAGGAATTGCAAAGGACTTCCTCAAAGAAAACAGGGGGATTAACTTCTTGGATTTTGTCTGTACATTTCTTAAAAATTCTAAAATGTTCTTAATACTCAACCTTTTGGTTACAATAGATAAAGCATATCACAAAAGGAGTTGCTCTACTTCATGAGAAGAATATTATCCATGGTGATATAAGAGCAGTTAGTTTTCCTTTTCTACCTTTTGAGAAATTGGTATTATTCCTTCTGTAGGACAATATTTTGGTCAGCAATGATGGCTTGCCTAGAATTGCAGACAATGGATTGTCTTGCATTATACACTTGCTGGACAAATACAACATAACAGAGACAGAAATTAGTATAGCAACTAGATGGATGCCACCTGAGTTTGCTCGTCTTGAAGATGATGAAGCATACACTCCCAGTAAAGAAGGAGATATTTGGTCTTTAGGAATGACTATTTTTGCATGAGTTTTTTCATTTTTACTTATAACAAATATACTAAAATACTAATAATTTTGTTATAAATAGGAACTATGGTCTGGACAGTTTCCATATAGTAAAACCAAAGCAGAACGGGTTCCATCCAAGATTGCCCAAGGAACACTGCCAGAGTTTCCATCCCAAGTGCTTACAGCCAGTTTTGAAGGCTTTAGAGAGCAGATCAAATTTTTGTGTGAATTATGCTGGGAAATTAATCCAGCAGAACGTGTACCAGCAGCTAAACTTGAGCATTGTATACAGTAAGCATTTCCCCTTTCAATAATTCAATTTTCAACTGATGCTGCATTTATTTTATTAGAGAAATGATGGATGGAAGGGACGTAGCAACTGTGAAGAAGAATTTCATGTTACAGAAAGATCAAGACTTTCTATCAAGAAAGTTTCCCTCAATTAGTATTGGCAGACGTTCAGGATCAAGCTTGGATACATCAAGCGTATCAAGTACTAGTACAAAGAGTACAATTGACATACAACGCATACAAAGTCCATCTGAAGCCTCTAACACTAGCTATGGAACAGAGAGAGGTAACATTTGATGGTTCTATCCTTTTCCTCGATTGTTGGTAAACTACTTTCAGGATATGCCAGTTATCAAACGCCAGTAATCAAGAAAGAAGAAACGGACGAGACTAGCACAGTTTCTGCTTGGTCGCACTTGAATCGTCAACAGGACGCGGGTGGAAGCACCGGCTCTCGCTCTGCTGAGACCGCGCAGGCCGGACGGCCGACCGAATCAGGGCATGGTGCTACTAATAAACCATTCCGTGCTTTCACGCCTCCTCCGTCTCCAAACTCTGTGTCGAACATAGTTACGTGTAAGTCAAGTTGCTTTTGAGTATTGTCGAAAAAGGGGCTCTCAACCTACTGTCCAGCGAGCATGACAGAATTGCTCAACTATAAGGCCAAGAACAAAGCCTCCTCGTTGGAAGTTATATCGGGGTCTGTCGGAGACGATCATCAGCCAATGTGGAGCACCATCTGCACTAGTACGTACCTTATACCCTGCGACTTGAACAAACTTGCGACTCATAACTCTTTAGTCGATGGCAAAGTTTATGGAAAGGGATCCAGCACTAAGAAGAGAGAAGCAAATGAGATAGCGGCATGCGAGGCACTGGAACGTATTTGTGAGTTTGGGGCTTGACTGGCGCGCTCTAGTAGAAAGGCTAACGTGTCAGAAGACAAGGAAAACCCAGGGCTAGCTGCGGACTCGTCTCCATCGTACCTGTCGGCATTCAATAGTTACTTGGTAGCACAAGACCTTACTGATAGGATTGAGATGATATGTGGTCAATCGGGGCCAGCACACATTCCGGAGTGGACTTGTAGGTTAATCCGTAAGTCTACACAGCTCTGGGTCTTCTGTGAATGGCCCGAGATGCAGTAACACAAATTTTATGCAGGAGACGGAAAGCAGCTCTCTGTGGGAGTTTCGTCGACGAAGCAGAAGGCCATGGAAGAGGCAGCGAAGAGAGCAGTAGCAGTCTGGAACAGCATCTGAAGTACGTTTTCGAGAGTCTCCAGAAGCAGTGTCGTGGTCAACGGAGACTGACGCCAGAGTTTTACAATCTCTTGCTAAGTTGCCATGCTTTCCTTTTTTTTACGTGTTTGCTACCCGATCTTGTGAATGTGATGCACTGTCTATGCACGATAAATATATCCAGATTCGTGTACTTTGATCAATATCGTGTCTGTATAAATCCTGGGAAGTGTTACTAGTAGTCTGAAAGTCTGAGGTACTTCTCGAATTTACTGCGTATTGATTTCATATGCGCACGTGACCGAAACACATCCACAAACTCCGACCTGCTACCTGGTGTCATAGTCATTGCCAGCAAGATGTCCCTCTGAACGTGTCTTTCTGTCCTCCAAGTTCGTAGTTCTTGTCGGATGGCGGAATACAAGAGGATCCATTATTGGAACCAATTGCAAGCGGCTCTCACGGCTGGTCACTGGGACTCTTCGACACCCGGTAAGACTCCGAAGGGCTCGTTTCTCCCTTGGTCCGAGCTTCTTCGCAAGGCAAAAAAGCACGCAAAACAAAAAGGTAAGGGATCATATAAGCTTACTCTTAAATAACACATTGATGCAGCGCGAACACGTAGATGTACCTGAGGCTGCCTCTCAGACATACTACCTCTCATTACTCCTTTGTACGACGAAGAAACCTTCAAAAGAACTGGATGTAAAGGATTGCCATGGAGTCGAGAAGTTCTGGTTGGGTGACGAATGCGTCCTTCTCGAGGAACGGAGAGAGGACGCGCTGAAGGCATATGAAGGCTTGCAGCAACTGGATTCCTCTGAAGAGGTACGGCCGTGATCATAGAATGATAGCATTATACAACTAAACAAAGCGTGATTGTAGTATGTGAAGCAGTCATTGGCTTTCTTTGCTTATGCTCTCGGCCGGCCTTCAGAATGTCTGGAGTACGTTTCAGGTCTTGCATTCGCGGACCGCTTGATCTCCGAGAAACCCACCGTCCTTGTCACTTCTGTAGATGAGAAATCTGAGAAATCATCGATTCCCCCGGTATCCTCAACGCAGATGGAAGTGAAGAACAGCGATGCATGGTTCCTTATGGAGGCACTTCGCACAGTCTGCTTAGAAGGTATGTTATTATTTTCTGCAGGGAAGGATATGACAATGTAAAATGAACCAATACAGGCATGGCGCATGAACGAATATCCCCGGGTTCACCATCACAAGCCCTAGCTTCTTATGACAAGGGTATTCAACTTCTTAATTCTGTATCTGTTCCAAAGTCTCTGCCTCAACCAGGTCGAACAAGCTTTGAATCCTTCAACAAGTATATTGAGTTATGGCGCTGGACGGAACGCCTTCTATGGCGTAGCGTCATCCTCTCTGCTAGGCATAGGGATATCGAAAGTACTCTGTCCGTGTTCCGAACGTATTCTATCCATAGCGTACATTGGCCACCCAACTTCCGGTCTGAACACCGATCCTCGATTTGTACCTTGTATCTGCGTGCGCTTATTCTTGTATCTTCGCAACCGACATTGTTTCAGAGCAAGAGTGCATGGTTGGCTGAGATGCGGGGAGTAGTCCTTGAGTATCGCGCAATTTTGGGAGCAACAACGCAATTTCCGAGTGCGGGAGAACGCAATGTGCCTGTCGAAGAGTTTGTCGACTTCTGCGTTGCCGCTTGGGAAGCAGGTGGATCAGCGGCCGATCAGGCATCCTGGGTTATTGATGTTCGTCAATATGGGTATTATGATAAGATATCTTGCTCATTTATCGTTGATAATTGGTATAGATCCTTTGGTGGGCAACGCGTCTTACTTTCAACTCACCCCGTATACTGCGTCACATGGCTCGATTGCTTCATGTTTCTGGTGATCACGAGCTCGCAAAACGCGTTACGCGATTATATGTGCAAGTAGTCCGGAAAGCTCGTGAAACAGGGACAGTAAACGCAGAGGGTGAGGATACCCACGATGCCTCGGCGACTGAGCTGGATGTTCTTTGGATTCAGACATTAGTGCAAGGTGCACGTATGCTATGCCGCATTCCGGGTGGTGTGAAGGAAGCTCGTGACGCAGCCGAACTAATCGGATATGCGCGGGATCGTGTTGCGAACCTGGGCGATGAGCTCGTGGCAAGCGTTGATCTTGCCGATGGTATCTGCAAGTCTGTTCTAGCAATAAGAGGTGCCAGCTATTTGTAAAGGCTTTTTCTTCCCTCTAACCCTCTGTTACAGAGAAAGATCCCGTCAGCAGAGCACCGCTTCTATCAATCTCGGTTGAGTTATTGACACGCTCTGTGGGACGGAATCCGACACCTTCGGCATGCTTCCACGCCGCTGTTGCTCTCTCTCGACCTATTCCAGAACGAGACCTCGAGAAAGCTGTTGAGCTATGTAGACGAGCTGTCGAAGCAGAGCCAAAGGAAATACGATATTGGCACCTATTAGCCCTTTTATCTGCGAAACAGGGAGAATGGAAGAAGGCAAAGGGAGTATTGGAAGCTGCGGTAGAGTTTGCAGAGGACGTAGAAACGCGAACGAACGTGGATGAGCTGAAAAACAACGGCATTGTTCCTAGGGATTATGGTTCTGCCAATGGAGGTCAGACACCTACTGCCTCTGATCCTCAGATTGAAAATAATGAACGGAACGGGTTTACAATGCCAACTTCGGCTTTGCACCGAAGTCTAATTGACCCAGATGCACAGGATCTTCCGCCTGCGACAGAGCTCCTGAGATCAATACCGGACCACCCACCACCAACACAACGTGACATCTTTGAGCAGGTTTTGCAATTGAGAATGACACAAATCGCTATTACCGAACTCATTGAGGGACCGGAAAGTGTGGAGGCATGTTGGCTCGAAGTTTTCGAGTGGTATTCGCAGAGGCGTGACACACAAGGAGGTGGTCCGTCGTTTCTAAATGTAAATTATGACCTATGTCCTGACATGTCTCACCCATAGCACCGTCAGTAAGGCCCTCAATGGATGCTCGTCGAACTCCGAGTCCCGCGTATCCAAGTTCTGTTGCACAAGGATCATTGCAAGGACAAAATGCTGCTGTGGAAGGTTCATCGGATGCAAGTATCTCTAACAATCATTCTGGAGCTTCTGCATCATCAGTAGATAATGTGACCGTTCGTTCACACATCGGCACTTCCTTAGACAATCCCACTGAAGTTCCACTTGCGGAGAAGGGCAAAGAACGACTTTCGGGTGATTCTCAGCATACCGAACGAGACAAAAAAGGAAAGCGAGTTCAGCAAATGCTCAAAAAGCAGGTGCATAAGCAGCAAGCTCGTATCACTACGATATCGAAGAAGATTGGACACGGAGTCTCAAAGAGTACTCCAAACCTCCATCGGTCGAATTCAACTCCCGGTAAGTCATGTCTCACATGATAGTTTCTGCGATATAATAAAGCAATATTCTTACTATTTTAGATCTACATGCAATGTTAGCTCATGCAGGTCCCTATCAGGCATCATCAATACATTCTCGAAGACGGATATCATTTGGCTCGAGGTTAGCACGGTCAGAACGGGAACGTGAAGGTACTCTGCCAGTACCGTCTCCTCCACCACCCCCTATCCCGTCATCGGCACAGGAAGGCACAACTACTATCCGTAATGCTCGAGAACGAAGACTGCTGAGTGACTTATGGCTCATGTCAGCGGCAACTTTCAGACGTCTTGAGAAGCTCGACCAGACACGAGGTGCTATCCAGGAAGCCGAGTCGCTGGATGACCGAAACGAGGCAGTGTGGGTGCAGGTATGTATTTCTCTGTGGTTCGCTGGATTGCCACTGATGCCTTGTACCTTCCAGCTTGGTCTATACTTCTCCACTCGAGGCGAGGAAGGCAAGGCCATCGAAGCCTTCCAAAAAGCTCTATTTATCTCTTTGGATGACATACCCGCAACTATTCATCTTTGCCAGCTATATTTAACTTCTCGTTCGCAACTCATTCGTTCCAGTTCCTACGGAGCAGTAGACATTGCCGCTGGTATGCTGGAAGCACTCACCCGTGGCCGGGGCTGGGATGTCGCAGAAGCATGGTATCTTCTTGCGAATGCTTACAGAATGCAGGGACGGAAGGATCGAGAACGGGAATGTTTAATATTCGCACTCGGACTTGCAGAAGTTCGCGGCGTTCGCGATATAGGCTCAGCTATTGGTTGGTGTTTATAGTACATTTTGGATCGGTTCGCTGGATTGCTGTACAGCACCTATTGGGTCTTCTATTCTGCTTCACAATGCATTAATGGAACGGTAATACTTTCCATTCGAGCATTCTGGAATACAGACCGCCTAACATATCTCTAGAACTCTATTTCCACTTAATACAACGTTAACTCGCAGTATCAACAGTATCTCTACATTATTACGATTCACCATGCACGAAGAGCGATCCTTGATAATTGGAAGAGAGCTATTTCAGTAACGTTTTTGCAAAGAGCCGTTAAGTGGTTATTTGACTCAAAATCGACAGCATAAGAAGATTTTGGAATTCTGTACGTTTTGAACTCTCGACAAGTGTTGTCAATTGGACTTCTATTACCTATATTCGGCAACATGACTTCTCACAGCATCTGCCGTACTAGTGCCAGACGTGCTATTGACCACTTCGTGCAGTGTCGATACTAAATACATGGCCTGTCGTGCAAGAAAGAGCCGGCTCTCTTCTGTATAGCCCTATGCCTATTTTGTGCTGACATCGCATAAGGAAGACTCTTCAGCGCTCATACTCTGATTTTAAGCTTTGCCGTGTATGGGAAGAAGCAAACCCTTTGGCAAACTGATACCAGGCAATGGTCATTGCCTCTGGACGTCTGGATGCTGTCTTGCCTGCTTCGGGTTTGTTACTCGAACTGACTACTTGAATAGCTGGATATGCATTGCTGTAAAGCAATAATACGCCCTCAAGCTTCCAGGTAGACCGTTCAGGACTAGTGTGTCTTTACGTCTGGAAATACAATCCCTGCTGTCTACTAGCTACTAATATAGGATCGAACCAAGCGAAATCCGGTGCAGAATAGCATTGAATTTCCAGTCCTGTCTGAACCGTATTTAATGGGGCAATTGGACGAGCTGCCCATAGTTCAGCAGTGGACTACGTTGCTAAATTTTCTAACCCTCACACTATGCAATTCCCCTTTGCATTTGATTATACGTCTAAACTAACCGGACTCTCCAGTAGACCAGTAGCGCGTGGCGGCTACTCCATAATTCGAAAGTGCTACTATGGAGGGAAGACATTCGCAGTCAAGGAGCTACATGTCTCAAATGTCCGCCTGTCGATAGAAGAGGTACCTTTTGTCAAAGACATTGTACAATATTTCCGAGATTGATCAGTCACTCTCAGCTAGTGGTGAAAGAATATGACCTTTGGCATCGGCTAAGGCATCCTAACATCCTCCCGTTGGAGGGTATCTGTTATCCTCATCCTGACAGCAACATCCCGGCGTTCGTTTCCTGCTGGCAGGAGAATGGGCGAATCAAGGATTTCGTCAAGGAGAGGCCATATATTGACTACATACGACTAGTACGTATGGTGTGCTAGCCTATTCATTACATTACTGAACCAATCAGGTTGAAGGCATTGCTGAGGGGGTACGTTATCTCCATGAAAACAAGATTATTCATGGCGACCTAAGAGCTGTGAGTAAATCATCTAGTCTCTGTACACTCATCATTGTCTAAAAATGTCTGGGAAATTACGATGCAGGCGAACATACTAATCTCAGATACTCAAGAGGCATTAGTTACAGACTTTGGCATTGCTAAGGTTGACAGTGGAGACGGAGTCCAGATTTCTTCTGCGTTTCAAGGGAACGTCCGTTGGATGCCTTATGAGTTTTTCCAGGATGACAAAGAGGAACTTCTCAATATGGATGCTCGCCGCTCGAAGGAGGCTGACATTTGGATGTTTGGCATTCTCATCCAGGTATGCATATCTGATGCACTCTCCCAGTCATTGCTGAAGTTTCTGTTTTGCACAATCTAAGGAGGTGTTATCAGGAGAATCACCTTATCCTAGTCATTGGACTAATGTTAAGGTCATTAGGGAGATCTGTGCTGGGAGACTCCCGGAGTTTCCACCTGCCCAGCACAAAATTTGGAGATACCTTGATACGTCAATTTGTAATCTCACCTCACAATGCTGTGCCCTCGAGCCAGGAAGTCGGCCAACAATAATTGAAATACTTTCAGCAATCAGGAAAGTCGCTTCTGTAATCTGCTTCTCAACTTGTGTCTGACCGTCCTGTAGGGGAATGAAGGATTCATTTGATCACAGTGCTGACAAATCGGCTAGGTTGGAGATCACTGATAGTGTCAGAGATATTTTTGGCTTGGAAGATCGAACAGTCAGGATCTCTGAGCTCCTTGGCTCACTCGATCTATCGACAGGTCCAACCTCCAATCCTAACAGCTCCCCAGTAAGGTTTTCACAGGGAGATTTGCATAATGCATTGTGTTCTCCAGAGGAATCGTCTCAGAATGCTACCTGTGGATCTGGTACCTTTGCTCAAGATCAACCAGAATTGTCTAGACCCTGCCAGGGTCCTCGTGAAGCCGACGCATGCAACGAGCCGGACATTTTCAACCTTGATCCAAGTGGTGAATACAGAATCACTCTCAGAAAATATTAATCCAACTAACACAGTGTATTGTGATTTAGTCGAATTGAATAACTTTATTGTACAAAGAGGCCTCGCCAGTCGTGTTATTGAGAGGGTCCATCCGGCGGTTCCCGGACAGAACTCAACTTGGACCATTGCTATCAGCTGTGAGTACTAGTATTCCATCTCTTCTTGTACAGTTTCGTTGTCTCTGATATGCATTGTGACTGTAATGTTACTAGACGATGGCAAGGAGATTGCAGCTGCGTCGTCATTCAGTAAAATTGAAGCAAGGAGGGAGGCCTCTAGGATGGTTCTCTCCAAACTACGTTTGTACCATGTTCTTCCTCCTCGCTCTCGTCACACTAATTATGTATGTGCAGGCGAGCCTGGCAGTACTTTGATGATCCAAGAGCCGGTGTACTTTGATGACGGTCCCGCCCACATTAAAACGTGGATTTGTATACTACGCCGTTGAGTTGACGCCGCTTGTAAACTGTGATTATGTAACTGATATACCGATTTTTCACAGATGGTAATTCGGTGGTTGAAGGAAGAGGATTGACGAAGAAGGAGGCCAAGCAGAGTGCTCAGCTTCTACTCGGTTAAGGTGTGCTTGGAGGAAGTAACTTTACATGTATATGCAAGGGTATAGTCCAAATGCTAGAACGCAAACGTATGGGTATCAAATGCATACGATGTCCTAATAAGACCGACGTATCATCATGATACCGACGTTTCCACGAGTGTGTCGAATACCCTCTCAAGGACGTCTTTCCGTTGTAAGGCATTCAGCCAGCGCTCGGGTATCGCTTCAATCCCGTAAAGCGCACCCGCCAGCTGTCCATATATCGCGCAAACAGTATCCACGTCTGAACCCAATGGCAGGAGCAAGAGCATTCCCTAACCAAAACAAAGATTCAATCGTTAGAGTTTACTTAGCTGAAGGTAACACTTTGTTCTACGTACCTCTTCAAATGACTTCGAATTCCATAAAGCCCAAAGCGCAGCTTCGTGCGAGTGAATCACGAACCCAGAAGTCTTTATCTGCTTCACTGATTTTGTCTTCCAAGTCCCTGCCCTCAGTGCCTTTACCTCTTCTGTGGCGAAGCTCAATTCATCCGATGTGACTCCTGCTGGGAGATAATCGGCTGACAACACCATTTCCTTCCTCTCCTCTGCTTCTTCCAAAGATAACGTAGAGGTATTCGACGAGTTCCTAGCCAAAGCGAAGAACCCGAGGAATTGGGCGGTAGCCAGTCGGCAGGACTCGAGACACATGTGCGACGCATGAGTGATTCTACTTTGCATATCTGACATGGCGAGAGCTTCGCGTGGATTGCTCTGATAAAATACGGGAACTGGACTGAGTCGCATAAGTGAGCCGTTTCCTGATGAGTATGGGTTGCTTGAGCCAGAGAGGGTAAAATTGTTTCCGCTTTTGATCGCGGATGAGTATATGCCGAGAGCTTCTCGGGTAGCGTTCCCTGCGTTGAAAGATATGAACAGACGTTGCGATTGGATAATCGATAAGAAGTGTAGGAAGCATATTCACCTATATCGAAACAATAACCCACTGCAGACATGTATCCTGCGAACACAAAAAAAGACGTTTCGATCAGTGATCCACAAGAACGCGAAATTCACTCTTCTCACCTTCTTCATACCATTTCACAAGCTTCTTGGCTACATCTTCCCATTCCAGTTTACCCTTCTCGTTCAAGGATTCAGCCAAACAAAGTGCAGTGCTATAAATAAATACAATTAATCGATATCGACAAAACACAAATCAGCGATCAGTTTAACATTCTCGGTTCTTTGATAGCATCTTCTTGTACGTATGCAATTGGGCTTACCTACCTAGTATCATCCGTCCACGTTCCGGGTTCCATCGGTCTCCCATCGGGGAGCGTAAACGTAAAGGAAGCCTCCATCATACCAGATACCGCGTAATTTCCGCGAGTTCGAAATTCATATGGCGCTCCGAGTGCGTCGCCGACTGCGAGTCCGTAGAGTGCGCCTTTGAGGTGTGATCTGAGTTGATTGACGGTGGTGACGACGCTGGTCGACATGGTAAATCTTTACTAAATTGTGAGGAGGGAATAGTCTCGTGGGGAGTTCTGTGCTCAGTTTCCAGCAGAAATCTCTCTCGGACGTTGTGCGGTGCTTGTCGATAGCCCTACTCACTATAGACGATACAAAGCTAGACTGATTATTCAGCGGGTGGAGAGCATTCTGATAGCAATGTGGGTTATTATCCTGGAGTAGCACTGCCTACAAAAGAGTTGTGGTGATTGCATCTATCTGTCAATCAAAGAATCAAGAGCGAAATTTGAAACAGGATAGATAAGCGCTCAAACTGCCAAATGTAGGTTGCCAAAAACATGCACAAACAGTGCGACAAGATTTGCCTAACCTCAGTCAGCGCCACTTGACTGACATGCGTCACTACCACGAACCCTTTACAACTATTATCACATCTTGCAATTATTCTTTGTTAACGCAACTGCCTGACTGAGAAGATGCATGGTAGTGACGGGTATACGTCTTGTCGGTTCTAGGCCTCTGGGAGCGGCACAACTCAAAGCTAAGAGCAACAACCTTTGCTTCTTCAACTAGGGCTCTTGGAATTTAAATCCCACTGTCTGCTCGGTGATCTACCAGAGCCTGGTACACCGGTCGTCTATCACCGTGAAGAACAGAAACAGGTGCAATAAAATCACACTTATACTTCTTCTGTGACAGATTCTGAAATACCTCAAAATCTATCCATTTCTACCATGGGAACTGGCAGAGATGGGTCATACGAGTTGAGTCCTACTCGATTGCTGTTCCACCTAATTTTGCGGCCTTATTCCCAAAGATCCGCCTTGAAACAAATGCTCGTGCTATGTTTGTCGTTGGACAAAAGGGTAAAACGCCTTTGGAGTGCGCGTAAATAACTGCAACCGTGAAGCCCGTGGATCAATCAAGCCATGCGTGCGCAGTTGTACGCAAGGCAAATGATAGACGCCCAAGCTTGTGTGAGAATAAGTATGCAACTCTTGGTTTCTCCTGGATTTTCTGTGTTGATCTTCATGACACCAGACACAGTTTATGCGTATCAAGGCCGTCTCAGAAAACCTGCCAAATTATTTATGGACTGAGTCGACCGCATATTTGGACAGAAGCAGACACCACGTTTTGAGTAGCCTTACGTAGTTCGCGCTTAGGATCTCCGTGCCTCGCCCATAAGGTACAGCCTCATCAATAAACTAACGGATGCGTCATCATTCCATCGAGGCGTTCAGACGCTTTTCATTCCGGTGTGTATCCACTGCAAAGGCAGAAAAATATCAAGACAAATCTACTTGCCTGTAATAATGTCAGTAAAGTAGTTTACGCATAGGGCATTTCTCCAAGAGGATAGCTGTATTTACCCTCGTCCCGAATTGGCACAGCCAAACCGCCACGCCGTTGCCGTAAAAAGTAAGAGTGATTGTTGCCGGTGTTCTCGGTAACCCAGTGCAAGTGAATATTATTAGGTCACTATAAAAGAAGAGCATCTGCGGCGACACGCTTCGTCGCCAACAACCCTATCCTGCCACTCATCATCACTGGGCTTGCTCCCGCCCCGTCCATCCTGCGACGATGAACGACCATTCAGGACCGCTTTCGCCGCCTCTCACCGCGTCGACAAGGAATTTTCGCGAGTCAATTCATCTTATTCCTTCGTTACAACGCGAAAAGCGACCAAAGTCTTATGTGAGTGCCTTTGATTTGCATCATATCGTCTGATGACCTCTTGACCCTCGTTCGTCCTCTTCTTAGGAACCACCGCAACTCAAGCTATGGGTCGTGTTACCGGCGGCGCTGTTAATGGTTGCCCTTGGTATTGGACTGGAGGTGGCACTGTTCTTTTCGCAGAAGAATAGCGGTACGTCTTTTGTATGATCTCTCTTGCGCGCGACTCATCGTGTATCCTGAAGGTTATTCTGTGAAGGAGAAGAACATCTTTAAGTTTGCCTCAACACAATTCCTTACAGTACGTTCCTTTATTGGAATAGCGTCCTCTGGAGTCTGAACCGCTCCCAGTCATTCTTCCCTATTCTCCTTGTTGCTCCTCTTGGCCTACTGTGGGAATCAAAGAATTGGTTGGTGAAGCGTTACCAGGTATGCCATTCTCTTATGAGTTGACCAGGCATCATATTCACAGCCATCCTTAGCCATATATTAACCTCTCTAAAGGGGATGCCTCGGCGGAAGACTCGCTCCTCCTCGATTACGTGTCGATCAAGTGAGTTGTGATCTCTGTCTGTTTGACAATTAATGCTGATTAATCTCATCATATAGCACCCTTTATTGTGTATTTTTGGCTTTCTATAAGCGACACTGGCTCGTTTTTATCTCCGCAGTTGCTGGTCTCGCGACACTGCTCCTGCAGCCGCTTGCTGGTTCCATTTTCGATGTCCAACAGTTTCCGGAACCTAATTCGGGAACAGTGCAGAGTATCAGGTCTCTCGGACTTGACCCTGATCGGTTCCAGCTCACAGCCTTTCTCGCCGCTGCTGGTGTGAGTAAAATGCCTGCTTTTCATATCGGGATTTTCTAACCCTGGCACACATAAGTATGTCCTTGCAGCGGTAAGCAATAATTTGCTCGATCCCCCTTTCATCCATAACAACTGGGCTACAGCGGACTTTACGGTGTGATATTTTTGTATTTTAAAAGTACACGTGCTAATATAGCCGCAGTTCCCGGACGGTAACTACCTCAACGGAACCGTCACCACAAATACCACTGGTGTCCGGACAAATGCAACATGTTCGGCGCCTTCGTCGATCAGTCTCGGCGTCAGCGATGCTGTAAACTACACTATCACTGCGTCGTCAAATTCAATCGCAGACACTGGTTGCGGCACTACCGTATCGTTTAATCCAGCGAGTTCCACCCAGCAATACGGCGTTCAAGGGGTGGCGAACTGCGGGCCGCACGCTAATATGAACCAGACATTCTGGCCAGTCTTTTACTGGTTTTATCATAACAATTCGGCCGGAAACCCTCAGGCAGCAGGGGTATTCTGTGCTCCGACGCTTGAAGTATTTAATGTTTGGGCGAATGCATCATTGAATGATGGTTCTCTGGGAAATGTAACGATAATCTCCCCGATTGGGGACATGTCTAACAACAACGTCACCGGCGTACCCCAGATGGGAGTTCCCTTCAACGGGTGAATTCTTTCTTCGCATTTAATATGTCGTGAAGGGTGGCTGATTTTTATACGTTTGTATATTTAGAGTCATTTTTGATCCGAATACGGACCCATTCATTGCTGCACGGGCAAATGCGACAACTAGTGGCGTCCCCGGTGCTATTCTTCGGGCTGTTACGACGAATCAATCATTATCAAACACTGCATTCAACTCACCGGATGGTTTCGTTGAGCCAACATCAAGAATTTATGTTCGTGAACTCGTTTCCATTTTTATTGCGCACGGGATCTCACTCTGTCAATTTGCGTTACAACAGACTCAACATCTGGCTCTCATAGCTAAAAATACGTATTTCTTGCAAGCAAATGACACCCTTCCAGCGACTATATTCTCGTTAAAACCCCGACTTGTCATTGAGTGCGTTAATTTACTTTCTTATAGTGTACAAAGGACTAACGAAAAAAACTCTGTCACTTTCTAGACCGCTTTCGGCACATGCGTTATCCGTGCTTCTTATAATCGTCGGTTTGCTCATGTTTTTCATTGGAGTATGGCACAGGAAAATCCGAAGGGGAGTATTCCTTGGCGCTCCGCCTGGGTCTATTGCGAGCGCTGTGGCTCTCACATCGCGTTCCGGGTTCGGCGAACTTCTTGTACCATACGACGACGAACTGGGAATCGCAACGAAACTCACACCATATCGTTTCCGTCTTGATTACCGCACAGGAGCTATCATGGCGACCGATGCACCAGGGTACCAATTCGCTAAAGAGACGTATCGGGATAATGAGGACAATGAGAAGCCGGGAATTCTGAGTCGGGGGTCATCTGCTAAGGCTGAGTCGAGTACTGGGAATGAAGAGACGCGGATGAGTCTACTTGATCATCGTCGGGATTCGTCGATTGCACCGTTAACGCAAGCTGGGTATGAGGTGGAGCCGTTCTCACCTCCGTCGCGTTCACCAGATCCAGAGGGGCACGCGTAAGGCACCTATAGTGAATTCTAAATCCTGACTTTCACTCCTCGCTATCGAAACTCGAAGCCAGCTTATCCTCCACGCATCTTGTGATATACCACTGCATACGTCGTTCTTAATCATCTGGGCTCTTTTTTGGACTCTACAAGTCAGGACTGTTTTTTTACTTATGTATTGCCACCGCCTACTTTGTTTGCTGCCATTTTTTATGTATTAACGTGTTGCGTCGTAGTTCTGGTTTTTTCATGACTACTTAATGAGTAACGATTGAACTCAGGAGTGTAACGTGTGATTTCTGTCTGGGTAAACGCTCTTACGTTGCTAGCTAGGAGTTAGAGCTTGTGTATTGACCTTGAGGTTTTTCCACATGAATAGCAATATGTAGTAGCAGACAAAAGTATTGTACAGTTTTGAAAAATTTATATCTCCACCACAACACAATATTTTTAGAGTCTGCAAAAATGTAGTTTGTAGCCTAACAAATTAACTATAAGATTCAACCCAATTTTAAATTTAAAAAAATGAGATTATAGTGAGTAGTCTATTAAATAGCATTTTTTTCATCTCTACAACTACTACATATATACTCAATTAAAAATCACCAAAATATTCTTCTCAGAATTTTAAGGTCTGGAATATTTTGAATTATAAAGATTGATAAAATGGTTGTTCAGATATAAGCTTATAAATTAGTTATTTTTAAAACCTGATTTTGTATTATTTTTGCTCAAAAATGGTCAACTTTATTTTATATCTTAACAATTACCTAGTTAATACATATATTTTAAGGAATTTCTGAAAAAAAGAAAAGTTATTTATAAAACAGGACTACAAGTAAATAATAAGGGTTTCTGATAAATGTACAGCTTTATTGTTATTTGTATAACTAATTAGACTATAGTTGTACATATTCAGTCCTGTACTGAGTAGACTGTAAAACAGACCTGGACTAAGCTACTAGTCCAGTTCAGTTAAGGTCTAGTCCAGGTCCAGTCCAATCAGATCTAGTCTAGTGTCTATTAGAATCAGAATTTTCTAGACTAATATAGACTAGAATAAATACTCAACTAGACTTTAACCATCCCTAAGGTAGTTTGAGCCTATATATACTAGCTCTAACCTTTGAGTCAACCTTAAAAGGACTAAACCACTTGTTATTAAACTTCTTAGTAGGTCTAGTAGTCTTTATGTTCCTTAAGTCCAAACACACTATATCTTCTAGCTTATACTGTATAGAGGGGCCTGAATAACAATCATAATACTTCTTTATAGTTTTAGTAACTTGGTCCAGGCTTTTCTTTGTAAGTTCCTAAACATCTTTAATATGCTTAGTCTATTATTCAACAGAATATGTAACAGTCTCAGTCAAAATCAATCTAAAGCCTATAGAGTGTCTTCTAGAGTTGACATAGAACAGAGAGAACTTTATAATAGAGTGTTCTCAATTGTTATATACAAACTCAGCTATAGAAATCCATTCTGCCCAGTCTGACTGTTTATAGTTAACATACAAGTAGAGATACTATTCTATCTCTTAATTAATACACTCAGTTTGACTATCAGTTTGAGGATAATATACTGTAGAGGGATTCCCTTTAATATAAAGAGCTTTGTACAGTTCCCTTATAAATTTAGTATCAAATTACAGTCCTCTGTCATGTATAATCTCCCTAAGTAATTTATAGAGTCTAAAGACTTGATCCCTATACAGTCTAGCCATTCCCTCAGCTGTAACCTTTATAGTAGTTAAAAGAGTATGTATTTGCTTAGAGAAACAATCTACAATAATACAGATAGTGTTAAATCCCTTAGACTCAGACAATTCACTAATTAAATTAACAGATATTACTAGTTAAGGTCTAGCAGGTGTATCATAAGAATGTAGTGCCTTTTGTCTTGTAGTGTATAGAGATTTTGTTCTTTAGTATTTATTACAGCCTTAAACATATTTCTTAGTATCTGTCCTCATTTGTAGCTACTAGAACTCTCTCTAGATCATTTCAAGTATCTTTCTATACTCTGAATGTTCTACAAGTAGGGAATCATGATATTCCTTCAGAACCATTAGTATAAGGTCTGAGGGAACATATATCTTTGAATTCCTACACATATAGTTATCTCTAATAAGTATACTAGCTAGGTACTTCTCTCCTTTGTCTAATAATTCCTACTAAGTGTTCCAGATCTTTTACAGAGTGACTTTACTGCCTGTACACACTATTCCTCTTAACTAGGAGTCTTTAATAAAGGTAACATCTTTGTTATCATACTCTCCCTTATTAAATTGAGGACTTCTAGACAGTGTATCTACTTTAGCAAGTGTTTTTTCAGGTTTATACATTAAAACAAAGTCATAGTCTACTAGTTCCATTCTCAGCAAGCCTGTCTGTAGTTTAACTTGTAGAGAGCCTTAAAGTATGTTAAATTAGTATAGTCAGACCATACTTTAAAGGTTTGTCTTACTCTCAACAAGTACTAGTGCTAGTCCTTAATAGCTTTAACAATAGCAAGCATTTCTTTATTATAGATCTTATAATTTCACTCTACAGAGTTTAGAGATTGAGATCTGAATGTTACAGAACACTATACACTATTTTGCTTTTGAGAAAGGACTGCTCTAAGTGTGTAGTTAGACAAATTAGCTTCTACTCTAAAGAGATTATACTCATTTAGAATTGTAAGGACAGGCTGTAAGCTTAATTGTCTCTTAAGCTCTTCTATAGTCTCCCTTTACTCATTCCCCCAAGTAAATAAGACCTTCCTAGTTAGTTTAGTAAGTAGACAAGCTATTTTACTATAGACCTTAATGAATCTCTAATACTAGTTGTAGAAACTAGTAAACTGTTGTAATTACTTTAAGTTCTTTAGTTCTAGCTATTCATTAATAGACTTTACTTTTTTCAGGTGTATTCAAACCTTATTGTTCCTAATAATGTGTCTAAGATACTTAGTAGTAGATCTCTCAAATTCACACTTCTAAGACTTAAGGAACAAGTGATTCTATTACAGAATTGTAAAAACCCTTTAAACTAGGTGTTTATACTCTTTAATCTCTTTAGAATAGATGAGAATATTGTCTAGATAGACAACAACTAATCCCTCATTAATTAACTCACTAAAGATATTGTTTACAAAGCTCTAGAATGTAGTAGGGGCATTTGTAAGACTAAAGAACATGACTATAAGCTCAAACAATCCTAAATTTGTTCTAAAAGCTGCCTTCTACTCATTACCCTCCTAGATTCAAATATTATAGTATCCCTAGCACACATTAAGCTTTGTAAAGTACTTAGAATCTTTAACCTTATCAGAAGCTCTTGAATTAAAGGTAGAGGGTACTTGTTCTTAATAGTACCTTTATTAAGCTTTCTGTAATCTTGGATCAGTCTCAAAGATCCATCCTCCTTCTTAATAAAGAAGAAGGGTGATACTATAGAGGACTTTGAATATTAAATTCTTTCTGAAGCCAGATTCTCAGAAATGAAATCCTTGAGCACATCTTATTCTTTAAGAGCTAGAGGATACACTTTACAATCTGTAGTCTTAAAATCTGGCTTTAGATTGATAGTATAGTTCTAAGATTAATGCTCTAGTAATTACTCAAAGGATTCTTCACTGAATACATTCTTGTATACTTTAAGATAAGGGGGGATTGTAAAAACCAGGGTAGAATCATTATTAGTTCTCCTTAAGTACTCTAGGACATTTGGATAAGTCTCTAGTTTGTCTAAGAACATAGAACAACTGTCTAAACATTTAGTAAAGGACACAACACCTTGTCCCTAATCAATTTCTAGATTATACTTGTTTAACTAATTATATTCTAGAAAGATATTACTAAATACTAATATAGTGACTGTCAGACAAATTGTCTCTGTATACACTTTAACAGAGAGTTCCACTTTAACATAGTCCTTTAGGAGACCTCTATCATTACTTGTACCATTAGTATTAAAAACTAGGAAGGGATTCTTAAAAGGATATGTCTTTAACTTGTTGTTCTTAACAAAACCCACATTTATGTATAATTCAGTACACTCTGAATCAATTAGAGTATGTGTATTAATGAGTCTGTAGTCTGCTTTAATTGTTAAGAACATATTCAGTTGCCTTCTAGTGTTAGAGCAAATATACAAAGCTTCCCTAGGAGAAACTAAGCTTACAAGTCTATAAGGGATGTCTAAAACTGTTCATACACCTTCTACCTCTTTACAGACTTTAGAATCAATAGGTTCATTAAAGAAATAAGAGTCTTTACTGTCTAGAGTGTTATAGTACAAACAATAACTATCTATATTTGATTCAGATGTGTAAAGAAACTCACTGTTCCTTACAAGAGAATTCTAATTACTCTTAGTTCACTTAACTACTGACTAGGATAATCTAGTACTTGAGCAAGGGGTCAGGGGAAAAGAATCCCCTTTACCCTATGATCAATACTGTCTTTTATAAGAGTATACACATGTAGATACATGAGGAGCAAATGTAACTAACTCAAATGAGAATATATGTGTCTATAAGTCCTACTATATAATGATCTAACTTGATTAGTAATGAAGGGATGATAAAATACAAACCAGTAAAGCAAACCCTTACACTCACCCTCTAGTATTTAGTCCTAAATGCTAAAAATCAGTAAAAAGGCAGTGAACTTACCAAAAGTAATAGTTAGTAGTAAGTAAATACAAAAATACCTTACTCTAGCATCCAAAATGTTCCTAAACTGTATCCTAGTATCCTTGAAGTGGTTTGAGTCTAATCAATCAAGTATCTGTACAGTAGTAGTGTTCTAGTCAGTAAGTAACATGGTTCCAGACTATAAGAAACTAGATAAAACATTAATATACTTAAAAGTAATCAATATTACCTTATTATTACTTAGTAGAAAAGTTGCCTCTTAATTGTTACTATCAATATGACACTTTTTGAAGAGAATCAGTAGAGTTCCTAGGGAGATATGGCATTTCAGATCTTGAGTATTCTGAGACACACAGTGTCAATTACAATATATGAAAATGGAAATGCTAGCAGGTTTGTAGTTACAAAATGTAATTATTAACATATTCTCCTGTGTCTGTACAAAGTACAAGGTAAATCCCTGATCAACAAAGCTATAGCCTTCTTCTTCAATAGAATGGATTAGTATAGTGGCTTCTAACTGACTCTGTGTGAATTCTTTACTCCTGTAGAATAGTAACACAACAATAGGTAGTAGAGATGTGCTCAAAAATTCCTTTAGTATGTCCTTGATTTTTTCAATAGGCTAGTTCTTGGAAATTCTGTATCTTATACACATAGTCCTGAAAATTTA